GCCCCGTTGGGGGGGGGGCCATTTTGGCCCCCCCCTGTGGTTTTTCCTGAATAGCAAGAAAACGGCGGCGCGCAGCGCCGCCAAATTTTCAGTACCTTCCCGGGCATCAATTTGACACCTTCACACCAAATTTCAAGTCTTAGGTCACCTTAGGTCAGGAGTTATTGAGGTCAAACTGAGGTCATGTTCGAGCAAAAATGAGCAAAAAACATGCAATCTTGAAACGCTCACCAAATCTACAGTTATCAAGCAATTTTAAAGTTCTTTATATGGTCTAGTAGACAAAAAGCGGCGCTACAAAACTGCTATCTCGGATTTTCCAAATTTTTGGTTTTTGACCCAAAAAAAATCAAAAAATTGATTTTTTTTAGAAAAACTTTGAAAAAATCCAAAAATTTTCCGAATTTCGAAAAACCGGAATATATGTGATAGTCCCAGCGCTCTTCTATATACATACCAAATTTCAGATCGATATCTCGTTTTTTGGCCAAGTTATAGCGAAAAAACTGTTCAAAAATGATGACGTCAAATTTTTGAACTCAATTTTTAGCAATTCTAGACCACGTTCGGCAAAACAAAGACCACCATTGAACTCCCCGTGACGAGCTGCATCGATTCGATACCCATTTTATGCAAAAATATTAACTTTGAAATTTGACCTAATTTGACCTGACCTTGACCTGACCTTGACCTGACCTTGACCAAAACGTGATCTAAGCTGGCCCCAAAGGCTACCTGACCCATATAATCGCATTTGTCATGTAAAATGGACCATAAAACATGTATCACACGACACTTTCATATTGTGACCCCCCCGTGACCTGACCTCTGTGACCTGACCTGGTATCAGTGACCTCAAATAGCAAAATATGTGTTTGAGGAACATTTCCCCATCGATGATTTTCAATGAAATGCATTTTACTCGATTTTACAACGCATTTCTTGAAGTGCCTGTAAACGGTGAAAATTGGACCTTTGACCTGACCTGTGACGTCATCGGTTTGACCTAGGTCAATAAAATTGGGTCACAAGGTAGTTCCCCGTTGGGGCTATCCAACGCCGTTTACCGCTTGTCGCTATGTTGCGTGGTTCTCGAGATCTTAGGGGGGGGGGCCAAAATGGCCCCCCCCCCAACCGGGCGCGTTGCTCGGCAGAGCCCAACGGGGCGCGGGTTAATGCGCCAGCTCTATAATGCCACCTGTCCGCCGGTAATGGATCGACATTGGCAAACATGGCGCACCGTGTTCAGACGTGGCGCACCGTGTCCGCACACAATGTGCGCCACAATCGCCCTCTGCGCCATTCACCGCGCAGCCGCAGCGCGACGATTGGACGCGGCGAGAGAAGACACAACAGTATAGAGGATGTGCTTAGAGACACTGGCGAAAGGACAGAGCTAATTGGCACGATACAATGCGACGGCAGTCGTCACGGACTCGTGCATGTCACACGCACACACACAAAAACACAAAGACACAAAGACACGGATCGTCGGTGCTCCGGCGGAGATCAATACATGAGCCGATGACCGGCTGTGTACACATCTCCCGAGAACATCATCTTGTCATCCCTGAAGGCCTGTTTCGAAGAAGCCGTCATCAGGCGTCACCCTAGCGTCGCCATCAGGAGTCATCCGAGCACCGTCACCCGGAGCCCTGCCGCGCCCCGCTGAGCCTGTCACCGCTGTCGAACAGCCCCCATCAGCCACCTCTGGATCAGTCAAGCCATCTCCCACTGGCTCTCCTACATGAAGACGGATCGGCGTCAGAGGCTCTCCGTGAGAGCCCCGCAGACGAGCACCTCCGACAGCACGCGGCTCACAAAGCCATCCGGATCCCGTGTTAGGAGCGTGCTGAAATCAATGCTCGCCCGCCTGTTTGTCGCGACAGATTGGTGTTTACTGCAGCAGTGGCATTCCTATCGATCTGGCCGCCAGTGCCGCTCACCGACATGTTTTGATAACGCTGTTAGCGGCCGGCAGTGTTCTTTTGGTCCGTTCAGCCAGAGCATCGACGGAAAAGAGTTGGAATTTATAGCCCGACGTGGATGGGCCGACATGAGAAATGAGCCTCTCAAGGCAAGAGCTGAAGAAGAAAACAAACGTTTAGATTACTGAACTCAGGGAAACAGACTGTAAATTGGATGAAAAGTATTCCTCAGAATTACCTTCCCGGCCTTCGCCGCCCCACCGTGCCCATCTGGTCGAGATTCTGATGTGCTCTGAGGCGGTGTGGTCCGTGTATGTCTCTCTGTTTACTTGTATCTGTACGTTTGCGGTGTCTCGTCTGCCATATAGTGCGGGGAAGCTTTGCGCGCGTGGCTGCCGCCGCAATGGCCGTGCTCTATAGAGGCTGACAGGAGGGAGACGGATCACGACGCGTCCTCCCCCGTCAGCGGCCCGCCCCGCCTCCACCCTCGCCGCTGCGCTGTCCGCCCCACCGCTCAGATTCAGAAAAGAAGGCAGTGTCTCCGAGCGTCGGTGGCCAGCGGACCACGGGGAGCGACATCGGACTGCGGCAGACAAGTTCATCACCCAGACAACGGAAAGTGATCTTCCGGTACGGAAACAGTCACGGAATGCCAACACCGAGATATGGGATAAGTTAATTCGTTTGGCTCTATTCACATGTAAAAATCGTTCAGCCAAACAACTATGACGACGAAACCTCATGTTCGCAGCGTGCAACACCCTGTATAAAACATCAAGTGCGCACTGTGGTGCAAACACTGTATTTGAAGTGCACGAGATCCTGAGATCGGTTTTCACCAGTGCCAATGAAACGCGCGTCGTCCGCCCAATCCCTGTCTCGCGGGCTCACGCAGCTTGTCAGTGTCCACTGCCCATAGAAGTGAGGCGGGCCGAGAGCAACCTGCGGCGGAAGTGGTGGAAGTGGCCAGTGACCTCAACGGAAGGAAGTCACCGCAGCGGACGTGAGTCAAACGACGAGACCGTGGAGCAGCCAGGGCAGAAAGGTGACATAGCGAGACCCGCACAAAAGGCACACACTGGTGTCCATGCACGTTTCAAGGCCTTAGTTATATAACTGAATAGGTGAAACTATTATGTAACTGATACAGGACATGTGTTCTGTCACAGATATCACACAAAGACGTGGACATCGCAACATCTACGTCATACACGGTTCAATAAGCAAGTCATACGTCTAGCTGACGAAAGAGTCGCTACAAAAGAGATCTCAAATCTGAACAGTGAACCTTCTCTCTGCTTTTATTCACTTATGAATCCCTGTATGACTGTATAGTCTTCCAGGAACGTTTCTGTAGCGGCCGAGGCAGAAGCAGAGAGCATAAAGCGGTTACGTCATCCGAACTCAGTCGGTCAATATTGCCCAACTGACTCGAACAGGCCGCGCCGCGCTTGGGACCAGGACAGACGAAAGTACGGAAGTAACGACACACACAACCACAGAAGTCGTGTGGATCAGAGCCAACATCTGAAGACTGCCCCTCCGAGCGCTGCACGGCACCACTCAGCCCGATCAGGCTTATAGCCACCACCATAGCACACAACAGCGTACGGCACAGCAGCCCACCTACCGCCTCGCCTCTCACATCGCTCACACCCACATCCTAGTCAATCTCAGGTCCCACAGATGAACGTTAAGCGTCACCAGTACTGCCGTAATACTTTGCTTCAAATTCTGTACAGTTGAGCACATGCATTATACACTCAGTCCGCAGAGTCTAATCAGGGCACCCTATGCCCGCGACAGGGACTCCCGTGCCGAGACCAATGTCCGATGAACCATGTGCTACACATGGCCTACATTCATCACGTGTGATAATACGAGGTGCAACCTCCTGTTGGAGCACTGTCCGAATGCCAAGCTATGGAAAGCTGTCCATGTCTGGCATGATTTCACAGGCCACACCTTAGTACTGGACAAGCAAAGATAGCCGAAACAAGATGGGCCCCCAACATAACTGGGGCTCTGACATACAGACAACAGCAAACACATTGCACAACATGAATGGTAAACATTCTCTCCGCATGTGGACTAAACGTCAAACCGGGAGTGAGCACCTTTTGCCGAAGCGCAGAAACGACTCGATTCCATTTACCAGGCATAATTTTTGATAAGCGATGTCTTACAGACAAAGAACAGCGATATATTTTTTACTCATCTAGCAGATTTTCGCGGCGACGGCAGACGACACAGCTCATCATAACACTCGGCAGTGAAGCTCAGCCTCGCCCATTTCAGCCAGCTTTATGCGACAAATTTCACACAGGAAGGAAACTTGGCGCCCTGATGGCCAACTGCATTCTAATATCTTGGCCTGTTAGTTTAACAAAGAGCGTGCGATTCACTGTAGTTTGGCCATTAAAACTTCTCGCCGGCTCATTCTGGTTTAACTAGCGCGCCCTTGTTCTGGCGGCCGGTGGTGGAGGTGATCCTATCATTGAACACTCATCAGCCGCCCCAAGGGGTGACATCAAAGTTGAGCGCCACCAGAGAACCGTGTGGCCACCCCTTCGATTACCTCGCGCACGCCAAACAAATGTCCATAAATTTCCAACGACCAATTAGTACCAGAAAAATAAAAACAGCCCTACGTAATGCCGGGGTTCCATAGATCAGCCCCAAACGAACAGACGCGAGTTTAATGAACGGCGCCGCTGTAAATCATCGGAGACTTGACAGCTCACCAGCGGAGGTTCCCAAATCACTAACAAAACAGGGGCTTCCAAACTAACCATATTGATTTCTGAATCGTAACGGGAACGAAGAACAACCGCCACGAGGGCTTCAGAATCTTGAGACAACGGAGGACGTTCAAAGGCTTCGGTGCAGAAGATGGACAAATAAGTCAGTCCTACGTCTGTCGTCCGCAACAAAGCACACAGAAGGACAGGGCATCACTCACCAGCTTCACAGTGTCACTAGTCATCAATAACTCGGACATCACCAGTCCCCGCCCACCCTGTTGCCATCAGATGCCAATCACCCCGGGGTCGTCACCAGTGCACCACTCACCGGTCCTGGAAGTAGACAGGCTGCTGGTGGTGCTGCTGGTGATGCTGCTGGTGCGGGTGGTACCCCACAGACGTCATCGTCTCCACCGTGGACGTCATCGGCATCGACATCTGTAACAGACGGCGGCGTCACCATCACACGGCAGGGAACCTGTGGTCGCGGCCGTAGCGACACCTGGGTGCGATGAGAGGGGGCATCGGAGCCAGCACGCTCAATGGCGAATATATTGGGGCCAAGACTACACGTAAATACGCGACCCAGCCAAGTGAAGATTAACATCATATCCTTTACGACCCTTCACACCTTTCCCCGGCGATTCAAACCTGTCCCGTCCAGAGCCCCATCCCCGGGCGCCTCGCTCACGGCCCGGTGCGGCTGCTGACGGGTGGCGGCCGTACGGCTGCTGACGGCTGGCGGCCGTATTGATTGGACCGACCGACCGGAGCCACCGCGCCGGCGATGATTTTATATTCCGTTCAATCAGTTACAAATCATGACAACTTTTGTCATCTAACTCCCAAGTTGATCAAAGTTGGGCTGTTGGCGCTAAGTTGGTGCCGATATGCCCCGAGGGCTTATCCCGGGTGGGCCGGCGCCGCGGGAGGCAGGTCGAGCCAGGTCGCGCACAGAAAACGCTGCAACACGGTGTCCAAATGTAGCCGAGCACTTAGTCGGCGGTCACTCCGCAGAAGTTACCTGTCGCCGTACGCATACGGAGAAACGTGAGCCGCCTGGAGAACGGGTAAATGGTGATCCAGTTCGGCCGACAGGTTTCCTCGTCACACCACCGACCTGACGTACCTACACGGACCTCTTTGTTCAAAATGGAACAAAGCGCAGAGTGCAGAGTGATATGACCTTGGGACTCGGTGACACCGCGCCGAGGACGTCCTGTTAATAGCCTATATCACACCGATCTTTACAACCACACCTGTCCAAATTAGACGAGTTTTGTTCAACACGGCCTTCATTTGTCATCATAGGCCAATCTCAGCCACGTCATACTCCTGATTAACGGTTACATTACTTGAAAATCACATTTTAATCGCCCATGAATACGGATTAGCGTCGCTCTAAGTTTATCGGACCCGATATCCAAACGATTCCTATTCCGTTCGCGAGCCTTCGTGACGTAGGCTGGGGCTGGAGGAGAATTCTACTCTGACTCACTCCAGCTAGTGGGAATGGGAAGTGGGTATTTGCCTCTGCAGTAAAGTTAAACAGTTTCCACGAGGAGGAAATTCACTTCAAGTTCAACAAACCGTGCGTCTGCATACCAAAGAAACAGGCCTGATTAGCCATTGCAAGTCATGCAGTTATCCAGCTGCCTTAGTTTCCACGCAGCACTTATCTTAAATACATTCTGTTAGGTAAAAGGGAAAACCGGGTTTAAACATTTCACCAAAACATTAATGAAACGCAACTCGCTAACCTTAGTAACCAAAGCCATGTTTCAATAGCAACCGAACGACATGACAAAAAACCCGAAGCCGTTCTGTGCAGTGTTTGGCACAGGCCGCCTCCGATGGTATCCAGTGTCGGGTCTGTCCTGGGGCGTCTGTCCGTTTATCCGCAGCTGTGCTGTCCGGTACCGTCACCAGTGGCGTCCCGTCACCCAGTGACGCAATCACCGTCATGTCTCTCTCTCACCGCGTGTGACACAAGGCGCCGGAGAAAGTTAATCGAGCCTCGGCTACAGAGCGCCGGGCTTTCATTACATTGTTTATGAACGGCAAGCGATGTCGGGAAAACGGTCCTCGAAACAATTGTTGTTTGTCGACGGAAGGAAGCTCTCTACTAGCAGCAAAGTGGGCCAATTCTGAGTCGACATTAAATATCGCGCCACTTTCCACTTACAGCAGTCATCTATGCAGACGGAACTCATAACAACGAAGGAGCTCGTGGAAAGAAAACATTACCGACAAAAGTATTTGCGTCAGCATGGCAACTTGACTTCACAACATGGGATCATGGCAACTTGATTCGCTGACGCAAAGTGCTAGGAATCCATTTAGTTTGGTTCATTCGAAAACTGCATGCAATCCGTTTTGCAGAAAGTTCGCGTGGAAACCTAATGATGCGATCATACTAAAGGCTGGAAACAAGTGGATTTTATGAAGACAATATCAAATGCCGCAAAAATGCATTAAACATTTATGACTCATGCCTACCTTTCCGCATAGCATAACGTCAGACCAATCTCAACTGCCAACTCGAATCGTTTCTCAGTCGCACTGTTAGGTTCTGCCCACATTTAGCCTAAATTCCGCATTGCATCACATACCAGTGCCGTTCGGAACGTCAGCCTATTATTACCAGGTTGATTGCTGAGTCCCAGCGGGTGAAAGTGGTGCTGTACCGCCGTACCGGCCAGGGCGGTACACGACTCCTAAACAGGGGGGGGGGAGGGGGTGGCCGGCGGGCAGAGATGGACCGGCAGCCTTGGAGCCGGGGGCGGTTCGGGGTGTAAATAGGGGCGTGGCTAACAATAGTAACGGACCACAGGCTCTAAAAGGCATCCATGCGGCCGAAGGGGGCGACACAATCAAATGACCTGAATCGAGGAGAAATCGACACTCGGGAAAGAAACACACATGCCCACCCAGCGTGAAACATGGTCCCACAGCAGCCATCACCATATGATTACGTGATAGCGGCACGACACACGACAGGCCGGGACGGAACCCAGGCCGCCGGCGGGGACAAATGGCTACACAAATACGGTAGCTGATGCGATAAATCCAGCGGTGACGCGAGCTGTGACCAGTTCCCATCATCCACTGCCCCACAAAGACACGCTAACTAGCTGCTGGCTTCCACTGAATGCGCTGGTCAGGGCAGGGATGACTAGCAGATTCCAGCTGGATCTAGTTTGATCCGGATAGTCTTGAATGACTTGCTAAGACCTACTTCTTAAGATGTCCCGAATAATTAAGTGTAAGCTTATTTAGACTAATCTAAACTTTTCATAAAGTGTAAGTTGCTCAAGAACATTCGAGTTTTGTATCCAGTTGACCTACGTCTCCGACACATTAACCCGCGCCCTGCTGGGGGGGGTGTTTGAACACCCCCCTTGTGGTTTTTCGCGAATATCTCAAAAACGGCGGCGCGGAGCGCCGCCGTTTTTGGTACACCTTATCATACATCAATTCTACACATGTTGTGAAAATTTCAGACCAAGGTCATTCAAGGTCAGGTCACCAGGTCACTTGAAGTGACCTCACCTCATAAAAAGTTTCAATGTCTGTCATAGCTACACCAAGTGACCGATCGCTTTGAAACTTTCAGCGATTGCTAAGAGCAATAGCATGTACAAAATGTTTATCTCAGAATTTTTATATCGATGACCTAAGGTCAGGTCAATTTTGCGACCTCCCCGTTATAAGTCAAAATGGGAGAAAATTGAAATGCGCCTCTTTTGGACGAAAGACATTATAAACACTCCCAAACACCGAATTACAAGTGGTTTAGACACACTGAACATGAAAATGGTGTCCGTGACCCTTGTTTATGCCCTGAGGTCATCTAATGTCACGAATGGTATCTAGCAGTTTTTCGCAAATAACTTTTGATAGAGGCATGCTAGAGCGATGAAAACGCCTTAGATAGGTTCAGCTCGACGATACGGATCGACTGATATGCAACATGACCCTTTCCGGTCAGGTCATGACCTTGACCTGAGGTCAAATTTTCAAGTTGACCTTTCAAGGTCAAGTTATAGTTCATTCGATGCGTCTTGACAAGGGGAACACGATGCCGGTAAAAGTAAGCTCGTACAAGGCTTGGGTCAAAAGTTATTGCAGAAAAACTGTTTCCGAAAAAATCGGCTATTTTTGCAGTTTTTGCCCCCTGCAGGCAAAACCGTTGACGTTAGGTCAAATCTGAGAGAATTACTCAGAAAGGGCGTTAATAGGGCTATCGAATGCGCTTTTCCGCGGCGCTGTAGCTCTATTGGTTCCCGAGTTATGCGATGGATTCTTGGAAATTTTCGACATTCGACCTGGAAATCGGCGAAATTTTGCCTTCAATGACCTCTGGTGACCTTACCTTTGACCTGACCAAAAAATCGACCGAAGTGATTTCGTCATTATTTTTGACGCTCTTTCGAACGCTGCCTTCCGCGTATCGCTACGTGGCCCAGCATGAGCCGAGTTACAAGGGGGGTGTTCACTGTTCAAACACCCCCCCCCCCCCCAGCAGGGCGTGGAAATCCAGGACCCCCTGCCGGGCGCGGGTTAACCCCACGGCACCAACCACCACTCTATCACAAAAGGAACCCAGCGATCGATGCCGTAATAAAGACCCGATCATCAGACGATCAATGTTATCCGACAACCTTCTCCCTCCACCGTATACTTAGCCCCTGCCCCAATGATAGCCCAGCGTCCGCCTGGCAACACGGTCCACCCGCCGAAACACAGCTCCGCCAACAGCACCAAGAGCGGACCTCAATGAACCCCGAACGAGCGGCCTCGCTCGGCCGTGGGCCACTTTCGGCGGCACTAGAGTGGCCCACTTTCCGCCGGCGTGGCGTGGCCCTGGGTCGAGTGGCGGGCGGGCTCGCAGAGAGGTTAACTAACACACCTGTAGTGAAGAGGAGTAGAGACCCTGCTGCTGCTGCTGGCTGCCGTGGTCCGACATCAGCGACGGCAGGTCGAACTCCTCGTCACCCAGACTCGGCGGCTGGTACGTCTGTGGGAAACGGATGGCAGACGGGTCAGCAGGGTCACAGGGGTCAGCGGGGGGACCACAGGGGTCAGACCGGTCGCAAGGGGTCACCGGGGTCAGGGAGGGGAAGTGGAGGTCACAGGGGCCATCTGAGAGCTCACGGATCATACACGGATGAGCCGAGGGTCGACTGAGCGCGCTGGTAGGTCGGGGTCGCGTCGGGGGCGAAGAGAGCCCGGCCCGTGTTTGTTTGATCGTTTGATGTGTGTTTGTCTGTTTGTCACGACCCATTGGATAGTTTACTGTCGATCTAGTCGTAAAAGGGCCGTCACTGAGCCGAGTTAACTGGACGCGTTGTCCTGCTGCTTTTTTATTCAGATCAGATTGAAGAACCAGCCATTTTTTTCGCCTGATAAATACGTGAAACCATGCGTGCTAAAACCAATTTTTCAATACCATAATGACATCACGAGGAAATCGATTTAATATTGCTAATTGGGTGACTTAATAGACATGCCACTTCCCTAAAAGTTATATCTACTTTTAATGGCGTTCCATAAATCATTATTACGACATTCATCGTCACATTGACTGGGGAAGTTCGGCCGACCCGCCCTCCATTTCCCGGTCTCACGCTGCCCACACCGGGCCCATCAGCGAAGAGCCTCTATCGCCCGGGCAGCCCCGTCCCCGCCCCGGCTCCAACCACCTGTTCGCGGGGCGGCCGCCGGCGCCGACACCACCTAATTGGAACGGAGCGCCGGCCGACGGGGCCGTAACGGCGACGGGCGGCCGCCGCGCGGCGCGCCGACGACCGCCGCAAATCGTCGGGCGGCCGCCGGCGGCGCAGGCCCCGGGGACCAGCGACGGATGTCGTGTCACGCTAAACGCCGCCGGGGGCCGCCGGGGAGCACTGGGCCGCCGCGGTCGGCCCACCGGTCACGATGGGTGGCGCACTGCTGTGATTATCGCCCGCTGCTCCTCCCCAGCGGAGCCCGGCGACGCTCAGTGCCGTCCACAGGCAGACTTAGTGGCCGCCGCCGAGCCGACAATGTGCCAATCGCGGCCACTTCACTTGGTCGACGGGTCGGCAGGGCTAGAGACGTGATATTTTACTGACGGGAGTTACAGCGGCGGGAGAGGGACGATGGAACAGGACACGAGTTCGATGGGAGATGGTGAGAAAGGAATGGAACACGTGGCTAGCTGTTACACCAAACAATACGGAGTCACACTGCAAGAAAATAACGACCTTCAGAGGGATATAAACTTAGTAAAAGCCAACAAAAAGTTGATCCGCTCAATTAAGAAATTTAGGAAGTGGAGGAGACGATCAGTTGTGCCTGCCATTGACTTTAGCGGCCGGTTGACCCGGTTGCTGCCTTTCGAGGAATAAGGAGACGCACCAGCTATCACGGTCAGCGGGGCTCACCGTCGGCGGCCTAATTGTGAGAACAATCCAATCAGGCCGGCGAATCAGCCCTCTGAGCGGGACGCTCCTGGCTAACCCGATCGAGCGGCCGCAGATCGGCACGGAGCGACTATTACCGGAGGTTGGGCCGACACCACAGAGGAGCACCGGGGGAGCTGAGAGGGCACTGATGGCCAGGCGATGTGCGGTGTGTGACCGTCACTGACGTGACACGTCAGGTCACAGGGCTCTAAACGGGCAGTGATGGCGCCGGAAGTCACACCGTCGCTGATTTTGGAAACGCTGAACGGCTTCACTCAGAACTCAGACTCTGTACTATATCAACGCCGGATGTCCCACACAAGATCAAAGGAACTTCAAGGGACACATCACAAGATATCTTTCATTGATTGTTGAGCGCAATCATTGTTACGGGAAAGGTTCTCTATAAATATGTCCAGACGCCGATACTGGGAAAATGCTTACATAATCCGTTGTCATCAAAGACGTACGATTTGATCTGAGCCCTGAGGCCTCTTTACATTTGACTGCGTCTTCAAAGAGATGTAACAGCAGAGTGCTTTTTTGCTGCAGAGCGTGAAATTCTGAACATAAGAGTAGCTTCTGGAAAATAAAAAACGGCTGAAACAAAATGAAGCCCACTGAATTTTCCTTTCACACAACTATGCCGCACAGGCATCTCTACCACCCATTATCTATAGGTTCGGCAGTCTGATTAACTACATGATCATCCTAATTAATCGTCGCGTACTAGATATATATCACAGTAGTTCCGGCGGCGAAGGTGGATCGTCGCTGCTGCGCCGCGACTGTCGCCGTCGCTCGGTGGCGGATTGCGGCGCCCGATCGGGCGGCACCTGCCCGCCCGTGCTCCACTTCCCCAAAGTGCATTCGGAACAACAAACAGGGCGTCATTACTGCCTGGCCGCGCTCATTCTGGCGTCTTTACGCCCCAGTTGGTCCTATTTATTGGATTATTGTTTAAGCTGAACCCGTTTAACTTTCGGTCTTACTCGGCGAAATTTCCCACCGGAGCCGTGCCAGTTCGTCCGCCTTTTAATATTGTCGAGTCAGATCAAAATAAAGGCACCGGCTTTACCATTTACATGAGACGGAGACGGGACCTCCTGCGAACGTGCCAGCAGGAACGGGAGAGTGTGAGGGAAAAGGCAGAGAAATGCTCCCAGAGAGTGGTGTCCGGCGGGTGAATTGGCGATAATAAAGCGAAGATGATTCATGCGTTTGAAGGATGCTAACGTGCTTAATAATAATTGTGTGACCAACACGGCAGAAAACTGTGTTTGAAAGAGAGCTCCTATATAATTTGACAATTGAGCGTGGGAAAGGCAGCAAGCCCGCAGCAAAACCAGAGCAGCACTGCACAATAAGTTGGCGCTCTGCAAATAGTCGCATCGCCTACAGCCCTACGGTCCCGTTTGACCAATTCATGTGCCTCTTTCCACAAGATCTACATAAACATCAGTTCGATGCCTGTGAGACCGTGGGCCAAGTATGAAACCCACCTCAGCAGCGGCACGACACTCCGGTCCAGCGCTGTCTCAATGGGGGCGTAGAGGTCCGAGCTCCCAGAACTATATCTGCGTGCGGCAGATTAATCGATCCCGTGCCGATAGCCGTCTCACCAGAGAGGACCTGAACCTGAGGTCCCCAAAATCCTTTCCCTTACACAGTTGAAAGCGCCGGCGCAGTTATCAGGTGAAGTATCGAAAACGGCCCCATTCGCTTGGACGAATATGGCGAGACGAAAGCCAAAGTGAGTGTGCCGAGAATCGATTTCGGTGTAGATTGACTGACATATGTCACGTTTATGGTCAGTCAGTCAGTCAGCCATAGCGGGGCCCGTCCATCAATCACGACTGTAACTGCGCCCTCGATGAGATTTTCAAATGCAATCCACACACTTCGTAACACTGACGACATTGGAGCTATTTTGCAAGCTGTGGTGCAAGTTGAAGCTCGTTTGCTGTTCGCAAACTGCATGGTGCAATAAGCCACCTTCGTTCAAAAGCCGTAAAACAGGGCTAACAAGTTCCAGCAACCAGTTCAGTGAGCTTGGCTACAATTACCAACAGACTACCCATGCCAGAAAACTCTGGGATTTTCCAAATTCCACCATGCTAATTAGGTTTCAAATGGTATCAACACCACCCATGGCCAAAACATAATGCAGGAACAATTAATCTTAACGCCAGTTTCCCATCAATTCAAGTAGCTTCAAAGAGGAGCAGCGTCCTGTTCCGGCATCGCGAAGAGCTTTGAAGCCCTTTCCGGACTGAAGCCGAGTCAGCCCCACGTTCCGGTTCCGGTCTTCTCTCTCAGGGAGAGGGACAGAGGGAGAAGAGGAGAGGGAGAGGAGCGGGGATCAATCGGAGCTCGTCAGCCGCCTGCTCTGTCGGCTCACACTTTTTCACCGAGGCGCCGAGAATCCGACCAACTCAGCAAAACCTGACGAAAACTTATCAAAATTACGTTACAATTTTCTATTCTGCCCGCCAGAATTTCCAGTCCGATTTATCTTCTTATTCGGCGCTGTAACAACTTGAACTAGCGAGCCGAGTTGAATTCGCAAAATAGCCTGCGCCTGGCAGCTGGTTTCCTATTGAGATATACATCGGGCGGCCTGTAGTCTAACACACCAATGTGAGGAGAATTCGGCCAGTTGGAGCCTACCGCAATGAAACGAAAACCCTGCGAAGTTAATTATTCCGCCCGCTCGATCGCGATAACACGGAAACCTTCACTGCCTATTGAGGCCAGGGATAAGACCGATCACGTAAAACAATGTAACTAAAGGAACCACTAATCCTGCCATTCGTTTTCTTTTTCTCATTAATGGACTGACTCATAACTTGTCTGACGTCCTTATAGCTTGCGTAGCTTTGCGTAGAAATGCACCATTCCCAGAAAGCGCCGCGGGTGTATTAGGCGGGCCCAGTGGCCGGCCTCGGAAGCCCCGGGGGCACATTGGCAGGCCGACTGTTCGGCGGGCGGGGGGGGGGGGCAGGGCGTTACTCAGAAATGCATTGGGTAAGGTCAGTGCGGGATGGAGTCGCGGACGAGCCAATCTGGAGTGCCGCCGCACACGGCGAATACACCGAGAATATAGTGGCCAGTCGGCCCTATCGAGTGTGAGGGAGGGGTGTGATTTATAGAGCGCGAGGGAGAGCGACATTCCCACATCTCAATACTGACCGGCTACTGCAATATACAGACACGAAATCCACCGGGACCGCGAGAGAGACAACATGCATAACAACAGAGTCCATCAGACACAGGAAACACAGGAAATGACAGATGAATAGTAGTTTCACAAGCGACGAACTGGTAACAAAAGATGTAAAAGAACATAAAAGAGACAATACAACAGCGGGTATGTAGGCCCAACTGACTGATGATGACACCCTACCCCGTTCGCCGTCACTCCAATCGGGCGGTGGGGGCCGGCATCGGCCCCGGTCCGTCGGTCTTACCTGCTCCGACATGCCGTACACACCACCGGCGGGGATGTTCAGTGCCAAATCAAACGAATCGGGCGTCTGTAACACACAGAGGGCGAGTGTCAGAGGGGCGATCATACGGCGGAGGGGCAGCGGCAGGTCACCCTGCAGCAGGGAACACATGAAACACAGAGCACTGATCCCGTCCTGTCAAGTGTCAACCCACCTAGCACTCCACCCAGTCCAGCGACACCTGGCACCCCGGGCCAGTTATACTGGATACTGTCGGTTTGTCCATCACACCCAGGCCAGTATACTCAATACTGTCGGTTTGTCCAACACATCCGCGGGTCAGTATACTCAATACTGTCGGTTTGTCCAACACACCCGGGTCAGTATACTCAATACTGTCGGTTTGTCCAACACACCCGGGTCAGTATACTCAATACTGTCGGTTTGTCCAGCACAGTCGACACGCCACGTCACACCCATACACGGCCCAATAAACGGGCCGATCAATACGGGCTGCACTCGGCCGCCGCCGTCGAGAGGCAATATGACACGAATACGCCAGCGCCGGAGCAGTTTCCTAATATCCACACACCTCTCCGGCGATGCAGAGTCATGTTACGTGGTATAATAACCGAGACTGGCATCATATTGTCAGGTGCGCACTTGCAGGCAGTATTCATAGTTCAATTTGGTCGGTAGTTGTGTGCATTGCGCAAAGCCTATCTCAGGTCGCTGAGAGTACCGCGGTACACAGGACACAACTGTCCAGAGGACAGGTCGGCGGCGTTACCGGTGACCCGGCGCGGCAGATTGGGCCATCGGACGCAGGCTGCTCGGCCGTGATACATGACCGCCGTGAACACACACAGCACAGGGCGGGGACAGGTCGAATCCGTCCGTCCGGCCGGTCGGGCCATGGATCGTCAACTGGGTTCCGCCTCTGCGTGCTGGTCATAGGTGGACCGGGGACACGGGTTTAATCATAAACTGTGGAGTGTGGATAGGAAAAGACGCTAGCTCTACTTCTATCGTTCTCCATCATGCTATTCAATGCCCTTACGGCAATTGAAACAATTACCTAGAACAGCCAGTCTCAATGATTTCAAACGGATCTAAGCATAGTCCAGAAAGAAGAACAGACCCGAAACCAGAACGGACCATATCCAATTACCCGATCGGCTATCTCGACGAATCAATAGAGTAACCAATCAATCGCCGGCTGAGCCAACGGAGAGAATCGATCCTTCTCTTTCCAATTACGAGTCGGCTTTCTCCGACACAGATGAAAACAGAGTCCGGCTTCGGGACAGAACTGAATAAGCGGGAACCGCTCCGTACAGAGGACTCGACTTGAAACATAGCTTGCATTAGTTACATAGGTAGAACAAGCCAGAGAACACCAGCATATACCGATCTTCCACGGACTTCCCTGCACCAATGCGTAATACGCACATGCTTTCACCAACTTGCACTGAAGCCATTGCGACGTGTCAACTTGTGACCTGGTAATGCATACCGTTCGATGGTCCAATTGCGTCATAATCCAGGGGAGACCCGGATGGAGTGGATTACGGCCTGCCGGCTCATGTTGCAGGGGTCGACTAATGAGCACGCAAAGCAGTGTCCCCGCCATCGAGAGCTGGCTGAAAGCACCACGGCAAATACTGCCCCATAATGGTCACTGAACCAAAGGCGTTACTGGATTACATTAGCTATCGCAAGTGTACGTCAGCCCGGGACCCAACCGGTTTAGAAAATGACAGCTTCAAGGAAGACCAGCAAGGAACGAGATAAACCGGATTCACAATGCCTGCAACCTTCATTTTCTTTTTTGATGTTCTTACCCGGAGCTGCTATTGAGTACAAAGCCACAAAAAGGTGAAAAGGAGACAAATGAACGGTGAATGATGTTCGTCATTCATATCCGTTTGTGGCATGTCACAATCGATCAAACCGATGCGATCCACTCATCCATTCATCTCCGCGGCGACTCGACACACAAATGGACGCCAGAGAGTGGTATGCATCGTATCGAGACACGACTAGTTTTCACCTGTCCTTTAACTCACATAAAAGAAAAGCGTCTCCACTCACTGTAAGCACTCGGCCCATCGCCAGTTCCTCCTTTCTAGCTCATCGTACCGTTACACGTGTCACCTATCCGGGTCAGAGTTCTGACATAAAACAGGAGCACGGCCCATTTACAGCAAACCCCGGCCTTCTGCAAGTGGAGACCCTCTTCGGTCTATGCTGATGAGCCTCTGACAAGTGGCCTGTTACAACTTCAACAGCCTGCATAATGCACTCATCCGATTACGACCCCGGCTGCCCGGCCCCGGCAGCCGTCCGGGGCACGTGCGCGCCCAGCAGGAGACACCCACTCTCCTCTGAGGAGATTCGGACGGACAACAGCTCAACACGAGGCATTGACGGATCTCACACTTCCACACCACAGTACCCTAGACACGAGGTAGCTGTGGCATGAGGCTTATAGCGCCGTTGATCACACTCGTCACTGTGTGACCCCCGAGCACACCGAACGGGTTAAAACAGCACGGCCCGGCCCACTGGCGGTCTGTGGCACTCTGATGGATGAACTCATTTCTAATTGAAAGGTCATGATTTCGTCACATTTATCAGGCCGCCAGCTTTGGTGAGCGAGTCGTCAGACAGCTCTCGACACAAAAACGAAATGAAAACGACAGTCATCGTCGACGGCGAGTGTCATCAGGCTCCGATGGAAGTCATCAAAAGGGCAGCTGGCGTCATCAAACATGAGTCTTACAGAGGAAAATCCACTGTGCGTCATCAACTGTTATCGGATAACACGAGAAGTCCATGCGCCATCCGATGCCATGGATGATGTGATCAGCAGAGCTACCTGATCCGCTAGAGCACCATGTTCCAGAACCGTATCCCATCCGAGTACCTCGACCAAAAAAGCACCGCAGTGTCAGCGCCTTCAGCACAGTCATTCACCAACATCACTCACCGCTCGCGTCATTATAGCACCGGTAAATAAGCCTGAGGCGTCACACCTCTACCCGGGTCGCGCTGCGGGGTGCCCCTCTGGTCAGTCCCCACTCGCACCGCCGCGCTGATCCGGCAATCCCGGCACAGCGCGCTCTGCCCGCTCCATCGCCGTGGGTTAACAGGTTCCACTCCGGTCCGAGGCCTTTCCGTCTGCATTAAACATTAACACGACCTCATTATGTCTGAATTGGTAATGCACCGAAAAGTACACGTTATCATAAGCCTCATAAAACGAGATTAAAGCGGTGAAATATCGGCGCCGGAATCGTCGCCGCCGCGCCACATTACGCCGGAATAATGTGTCCCGCGCGTGGCGTTAGCGGCCGCGCGAGACGGCGGCAATATGTGGCGCGCGCGCGTCACTCAGTGGCGCGCTAATTCGGCGCCACCTGGAGACCGCCGGCCGCCGGCCGTGACGTTATAGTGTCGGCGACGTTATAGTGTATCTGTCGGCGGGCCGGTCCGGACCAGACCGGGACCCCGGCGGACGCCGAGTCGGTATCACGGCCTGTTAGTCGAGGTCGGCGTACATTATCACCGTAAGGCGCCGTGAGACCCCAGAGGACGGCTAATTCGTGAAGCCGCGCACTGCTTTGACAGGCGACGAGGTTGTCGGCGCGGGCGCGCAGAGTAATTAGTGCTGATGAAGATATTCGCCAACGGGGAATAGTCCTAACAAGCATATGCATTCAGCCTGTCCGACAGTAAACAGAACGATGTATGCAAACATTTATAAGCCGTCATCGGTCTATTCACGGCAGGGACATTCAGTCGTCGGACGTTCAGCAATCAACCATCTTTTTTTGTGACAGCGGACCAACGTAACAAAAAAGCTATACGAAAGTTTTATCATACAAGTAAATGAGTCATGCCCATCACTCATTCCATTAGGCCGTGGGCCGCCCTGATATTACCAGCTGGTGCGGAAATAATACCAACAAACAAATGTGAAAAGTCAGCGACGGACGGCTATTGACAAGAAACAATCCTCGCTCCGGCAGGCGGCAATAAAAACATGATGGGCCTATCGATCTGGAGCAAAACTAATCAGCGAAACACATCAGCCGATCGCGTCAATAGCCTTCTCGGAACGGACGAGTCTCCCCTATTTACCTCGCGCTGGAGATGCAAACATTTCAGCGCTGCGATCACAATACAAGACATGTTAATGACTAATGAAATTTACATACAAATGAACATTTGCATAATGGAGAGACGGTTGCCAGTGCATAATTCAGTCCAAGTTTTCGGTCTAAAGAAGGTGCCAACTGCTTACGGAAAGCAGACAAGTTACTTGGCAGGAAAAGACTGGCTGACAGTCTTGTATTCTGCACACGACATAGCAGTTTCACAGGCAATAGGTTAAGGAAGGCCAAGTACCGCCTACATGTAACGACCGACAGGGGAAAAAGACATTGACGATATTAACTGTGATGAAATTCAACACCCGCACTTCAAAACTGACACCATTTGCAGACGCCTAGGGAGTGAGCTTGGAATACGCGGCTGAATTTATGAGACTTGCTAAGGCCTATTACTAACATAGTGCTGGCTTAATATCTACTGGTGCTAATTTGGCGTCGGCACGCACAATCGATAGCGTTGCCTAGCAGCGATGTTCAATACTGACAGAGCACATTAGTCCTATTCAAGCCAAGGACCGCGCAAATGACGCCTCAGTGCTATGACGACACGCTCGCGCGCCTCCGTCAAACATGAGACATGACACGGTCGAGGCCCCAGAGGACCCACAAAGAACTCAATTTCGTTCTAAAATAACGACCAATTTCGCCGATTGAGCCGGCAAAACGCACTCAAAACTCTGCGCTATTGTGCGCTCGAGGACTGTTCCATTCAGTTCAGTACGGCCCTTATTGCGTAATGACGACACAGTTAGAGACGCTGGAATCTCTCGAGTTCTGAGCAGCAACGAGTCGCGACAGTCCAAGTCAGGACTCTGCCACAAGCCCCAGGAAATCTGCACTGCCGAAATACTTCACCATCATCGCTGCAATATGTCCGTACAGGGGAGCAGCTCTCCTATTGAGATCGTG